ACCTAATTACATTGTAAATGTTAAATATTATTTAAACTTTAACTATTTTGAAAAAATAAGCATAAAATATACGATGGACTATGGAGCATTGGAGTGCATAGACATAATCTATTTATGACCCTGGACGTTAGCCCTGGACCTAACCTAATCCCAGGGTAAATAATTTAAATTTAAATATTCGCGGTCTTGAAGATAGACTTGACCGACCGTGTTTTATTTGATTGATTCTTCTTTAATTTCATACATGGCTTCAGGTTCGGCTGGCTTTCCAGTGTCAAATTCAAAGGTAATATATAGTCAGCAAGTACCACCCCTATATTATATGTTGGTGCCCACCTAAATTACAGCGAAAAGTCTTTGTAAAATCCAAAAAGGGAGGTAAGCTGGACTCTCTGATAAGTTTTACACGAGGCCTCTTATATTTTTAACAAGTTTTAAGTGTTAATTAATAACAATAAACGGACCTAAATCATGATTCGTAATATTTTAGAAGTCGACAAAGAAACGGTTTGTGTGTATATTACATAATATTATAATCTAACCTTACTTAGGTACCTAGCACATTGTAAAGAAATTTACGTATTAATATATAATAATATAAATGTTATAATTTGCTGTTAATATTGTACATAATATGTTATATATTGCAACACTCGCAGCTGCGACCTCGTATATTCCATATAAGGAACATTTCAGTGAACTAATTAAAAACACACTTGGGAATCTGATCAAAACGAGCGGGCACAACATAAATCATCATACGAGGCGGCAGTTTCACTCAATGTAAGGATAACGACCAAGGTGTGCCTTGATAACAACTTTATGATAGACGACATGCTAAATGCTTCGATTCTATAATAGGATTATAGGAATCAACATCGTATAATGGTAGGGCCAGGAGTACGGCATAATCAGATGTACCCAGTGGCGCCGACTTGTTTTTCACTTGATGGGGCAAAGTATAAAAACTATATACCACCACCAGCCACATGATTATAGTGTAAATTCAACTATCACAAAGCAAACACGGGGGCGAACAGCCCCATAAAACGGGGCCACTGGATGTACCTGGGCCAGCAAGACAGAAGCTCCTTCACGCCACCAGCCATTGTACACTATTATAGTCACTAGGTACGGCGTTATTAATATACCTATTATACATTATTCTGTTATAATAAACTACATTTCAATCACTGTTCTATAAATTGACTACTACTTTATTTCAAAACATCATCTTTCTGGATCCCTGAAGGGGCAGCACGTAACAACATTAGTGTTGTCACGTCTTGTCGACCTCGAAGCACATGTTCTGATGATATTTTAGAGGAATACAGTATAATATTAGACATTGTATAAAAAAAATGTATACACAATAATACTATTATATTAACTACTAGCTGTCACCCTCGTGCTCCGCCCCCGAGGATAGTTGTTTGCAAATTGTGGGTGTTTCGTTGCTCCACAAATCCTGTCCATCTATTTTGCAACGTTTTTTTTTTTTGTATGAAGAGCAATTTAACTGTATGCAGAGTAGGGTAAGACTTTTTTATACACATCTCATAATGTAATATTATCTACTCGACGATACTGCATAATTGCCTTGAGGAATGTATGTATGGAAATTAATGTAAACGTTACATTTTTTTCAATATGGTTTATTGCACTCGTTAACATACTCGTTCTGGCGGATTCTTGAGAGGTGTTAATTTTATTTTGCTGTTATAACAACACATTGAATGAGTTTCTGATTTAAATTTTAACGCAGAACAAAATCGACAAACAATGGTCATATCTACAATCCAAACCTTAGAGTGTAAGCGATAATCGACATCTGGTTCATAATGTAGAGCACTAGAGCTGCTAACTCTCGAACTCTTCCGTCAAACATGCATCACGTAACTTTTTAAATACATGTTCATAAGCTAGGCGATGTACGTTTATTGGGAAGCAATGCATATACCAGAGACGTATATATACCATTTTGAAAACCATGCAGTAGGTACAAAAAACTGTTAAAAAAATTTAGTGCAGAACTGGAATGTTCCGACCATAAAAACTTTTTCCATAGAACATAAGTATTTTAAATTTGTAAGACATGTAAATATAATTATATTTGTTTCCTTGTCATTTATTAGCAAAAAGTTTTCGTTTTTGTTAGTCGTAATATTCATATTTATTAGAGCTTCATGTACTTCATTAATATTTTTGGGAAGTAGTGGGTGATATTTGGTTTTTTTATTATATAAATTTCTACGAATATCTGAAATATCATTAGTCAGTAATAATTGTGTATCGTTTCCTAAACTACGAAGTTCATTTTTTATTATTTTAGATGGCATTTCGTTTATATTGCTTTCAGATATTTTTCGTTTGATACTATTACTTACTGCTTGACGTTCAATTGTAGATTCTACTTCATGAGTATGATCCAAAACTGATTTTTCTTGTATTGTATTAGAGTTTTTTCCTTGTTGAACACCAATTTGGCCTTGCATGATTTATTAGTGCATTCCCACGTTTTATAACCACTTATTTTTGATTCATATTTAAATTTGAATTTAAAATTGTCTAACACTGTTAATTGTTTGCCATTCTGGCTAAACATTGTTGTAAATTCCATCACGTTGAATAAATATTACAATTTTAACTCTACCAACATTTAGCACTTGTAAGTAGATACTAACTAGTATTATCAAAAGTGAAGGAACCGATATTACCGATATGCTTCGTTAAAACTTAAAAATACATTTGGATTTACCTTACCAATATCTGCGCAAGACGCAACATCACATAATTAATTAAATTATATACGTACACATATAGGTAGGTACAAGCCCGGATTAAGGGGGGGTCCAGGGGGGGGCCATGGCCCCCGGGCCTCCATTTATTTAGGGGCCTCAGATTTGTCCATTATAGGCTATAACCGCATAAATCACTTTAAAAAAATCGATTATTTAGCGAGGAAAAAAGCTTGTAAATTATAATTTATAAATAAAATGATACTTAATTCTTGATTTATTGCTATGTACCTAATACCACCTATATATATTTATTATAACAGGTACCTATATATTAATATACATTTTTTTTTTTTTGTACAGGGGCCTCATTTAAACTTTGGCCCCTGGGCCTCAAAATGTCTTAATCCGGGCTTGGGTAGGTATATATGATTTAGGTACTATAATATAGTATAGGTATATAGAAGGTATATAAAACAAATTGCCGCAGTTGGCAGTTTACATATCAACTTTTAGAAAAAGGTTCATTTTTCCGCAGTTTACATACAGCCAGATTAATAATCCCTCGTTGTCATCTTAAATTCTATATAAGCGTTTCCTCTCGGCAACATTTGTGCGGTGCGGCCAAAGTCAGATTTCCTCTTTATGGGCATTATTCGCTTTTATAGTATAAACAATAAATTTCGACCAATAAACAAAGATTATTCAAAATTAACAATTAAAACTTTAACAGTCATAACTTTTAGCAACCCTACAATAAACAAAATCATATTATTATTATTGTTATTATATTATTAATGTGTTTATTTTTCTCCTAGACAGCTTGCACCACTTCTGTATTCTTTACTTCCAGAGTTCCGACTTTTCCTAAAATTTTCTTTTCTAACAACCTTGTCCTGACAATTACGAACATAACAAAATAAGAATCAGCTATAAAGTGCAGTGCGTGTGATACTATGGATATGATGTATTAATGAATTTTAGTGATTTTTCCGTACTTTGTCAAGATTTGAACTTTAAATGCTTATTATAAGAAAACTGTGACTAAGGATTTTTAATAATTTTATAATATCATTGTAACCGTATAGTAGGAGCCTTGTATTAAATTTTCAAGTTTTTTACCCAACGAATAAAGTTGTATTGACATCGATATAAAAAAAGATTTAGCAAATTGGATCAAGATGGTACTTTAGAGAGGTCATTTTTCGATTTAATCAATAGTTATATAATGCCACGGGATAAACCACCGACAAATTACGAAAAACCACTAAAAATGGGATTTTAATTTCCAACGCTTTGTTTATTAACATAGAAACGAATAAAAAATAATAATATTATAATATTAATTCAACTTACAGAATATATTAAATAATAACAATATAAAATATATCCAGACTAACAAATCGTCTCCGCTCAGCTTCAGCTTATTTTGAATTTTTTTTTTTACTTACCTATTGAATATTATAATAGTTAGATTCAGGCTAAAACATTTGTTTGAAATAAAAAAAATATAAACATTGAACCTTATGCACCACTGGTAAAAATTGAATGACGTCATTGTAATAAGAAGATTAATACTATAATGTTAATAATTAGGTACTTACCTATGTTAGAAATTTGTCTTCGAACCATTGGCTTATTTTTATGTTAGTTGATGTTGAAATTATTGGAATCATTAATCCTCTTCGACGATGACCATAATGTAATTTGCCATAGATTATAGATATAATATTATGATAAGTTCTTATTAAATCTTAGAGATTTTAGTAATCAACGGATTTCTCCGATGATAGCTATACCTAATGCAGTAATGCTAATTTCGTCATATTTTTTCGTATAATCAGTCTTTTAATGCATTCGCATATCAAATAAAAGTATTCAAATACTTTTTTTATATCCAAATACTATTTTAAACACTTTTTTAAAAAAACATTTGAATACGTATAAAATACGGTGATTTATTAAAATAAACTCGATTATATTAATTCTTGTAACTATATCTTTTTAAAAACCAAACAAAATTTATCTAATTGTACACATTAATTTTTAAACAGGATAGCGATCATTTAAAAAAAGTAGATTATAGAGTAGGACCAAAATAATTTAAACTGTATCAAAAATAATAATTAATAACCATTAAATAAAATAATAATTTTCTATTAAAAATATAACAATGTACCTACTATAGATGATAATTTCCACAAGTATGTTATGAACACCAGGTATTTTTTTTATAATTATTACATTGACAGTATTAAATAATTACTCCTTCTTAGCATGATACGTTGGTGTAAATTTTATTCTTGGTCCTCGATGATTAATTGCATACCTTAATAATGGTGGCGTACGAATATAAATGCCTCGACTTTCAGGTGTCCAAGCTTGTACATAACATACATCATTTTCATATGGAGTCACGGCAACCCATCCTAAAATAAATACACATTTATATTATGTTGATGAATTGTACTATCAAAATTATAGGATCAAAAATAAATTTATATTTCAGTGATTTAAAAGCAATTTAGCACCACTCTCAAATACTCTAAATTTCTAATTCCATATTTCTACATATAATTTTAGATTCAACAATAAAATATACTCAATAGTTGGTCTTATAAACAATATATTTTAATTAACATTATTAATATACTATGAGTTCCTTCTTACAAAGAAAATGATGATATTGTGTTTAATTGTAATTAAGAAAATTTCAAATTTGTTTATGTTAATTTCGTTAAAATTCAAAATTCAAAATATAATTCATAATATTAGGGTTGTGGATACAGTGGCGTGCTCAGATATTTTAATGGGGGGGGGGGATAAATTGTCTACTATTCTCAGTCCACATTATACAGTGGTAAATATATTTTCATTGCTTTATAAGATTATATTTTATACAACTAAGCCATAGTTCCGCCTATGATGAGTACAATAAAACTAGTTATTTTATTACTCACCTGCAGATGACAAAACAATATCGGCACAACTAGTTTTTTCATTTATACCAGTCAATTGAATTGGGTTCTTGTAACTACTTAGCCCTGGCCACTTGGACAGTCTTTCAATACTACCACATGGAACTGCTAATAAATGTGTACCTAAAAGTTTCTCATACACCTCATCAGCGTCCTCTGTATTGCAAACAGTGATTGGAAGTGTATGAGCACTGAAGACGGTAAAACGAACAAATTTAGCTCCTGTTTTCAAACAGTCAATTCTACCAAGACCACCGACAAACAGTGATTGCAGAGGTCTTAAGCTGAATGTTCTTGGTTTCATAACCGTAGTTGGCAGAGTCATCATTAGCTCTTCTGTAGTCAGTAAATTAATAGATTGATCTGGATGAACAACACCTGGTGTATCGTACATAAATTTACTGTTTTTGAATTGTGGTTCATTTTCGTCAAAACCCAAAGTGCTACTGGTTACACGGTTTGTATTAACTTTAACTGCGTTGGTAGTAAATGGATCAGTTTCATTTTGTTTTACAATATCACCAACACTTGATTGTTTATGAAAAGTAAGACCAATTTGACCTGAATTATAATTTTTATTAAATTTTACAATATGCAATAATCAAAAAAGCTATTTATTAATTACTAACCAATAATTGAAGGTAAATCATTAATTTTCAATTTTAATGATCGTCTTTGGTCTGCATCTAATTGTTGTTCTAAAATTCTTTCTTTTCTTTCATATTGAAGACGTTGAGTCCTCATGTACAATCTCCAATTAGATGGTCGCATTATTGGAAACTTCAAAATAAATAGTTTAAGTACAAAAACAAATTAAGTCAATTAGGTAATCATACCTTAAGTAGATTCAGTGTTGTGCCAGGCCAGGGTGACGTAGTTGCTCGTTGTACCAAATCTACAGCTTTTACTTTACAATAATCTGATTGCAACAAGGTATTAAACATTGTTGATTTTCCCACATTAGTACACCCGATCAAATAAACATCGCCTTTAGTTTGCCAAAGTGAATGTAATTTATTGATTAATTCTTCAATGCCAAATCCTGTTTTTGCACTAACGACAGTTACGTGTTTAATATTAATATCTTTCGGAATGCTTTGAACCAATGATTTCTTTGCATGTTCAACCCATCCAGGGAAATCACCAGGTAACAAATCTAATTTATTACCTACAACAACTACTGGCTTATTAATACCAATACACTCCATTAAATTTGGCCAAATACTGCAAGGAAAATCTGTCAAATCCACCATAAGAATAATTAATGCTCGTTTCTTTTTGATAGGATACAATAGCTTTGGGTATTCAACAGGGTCGACTTGTACAGCTAGAGCTGTGTTATATTTCTGTATGAAATGGCATCTTTGGCATACCATGGTTCGGAGATCTTCAGGTCCACAGTGACAAAACAACTCGCTGGGCAAGTAGCCAGGTATTGATGAGTTCTGACAATGTAACAACGCTCCACAGCCACCACACGGTACGTTGCTAACTAGTATGGATGGATCAGGTGTACCGTACTCCGAAGTCCATGAAGGAATACTGTTTTCCTCCTCTAGATTTCTCTCTTCGTAACACTCATAATCGCTCATCCAATTCTTTGTCATCAACTCGTTCAGCTCATCTAAAAGTTGAGACACACAATTTACAATAACGCAATGTCAAAGTAAAATAATCGATAAAAAATAACCCTACGTCAATACGAAGGTGACACTTACAGTCGTAGCTTATTTCATTGTCTTCAGTGTCTTCGGTCTGTTTGCTGACATGCTTGTCGCCGACAATTTTACTAACAATACTGTACGGAAAATTGTGCGGTCTGTCCATAGGCACTTTTGCCGCTCTGTGTTCTGCGGTTTCGTCTGCTCCAGTATACCCATCCAAGTATTGCAATGACACGGGCTCGACGTCACACTTGATCTCTTCTAACCTTTGTTTTTTGAGCCTCTCCCGAACGTTGTACCAGTGTTTCACAGGCTTTTTACTCTGCAACACTGAATTATACACGATTCTATCCAACACGTCGTTCTTTAAAGCCGGCGACTGGCCGTAGCCGCGACACCGCCGCTTCAGGTGCGACCGCAACAATCGACTGGCGAACATTACTCCACGGCCACGTCTAAATTCGTATAGTCATATTTGTATAATAGTGATTTTCTCACGTAAAATACTGGTGTGTAACTTGAAACAACACTTCTCTAGAAGCGCCCACGCCGGGCTATAAGTGTATCGTATTCGTGTTTGTGTATAACTAATAACTATATTAAATTTTATTTATATTTAAATTATCATTTATCACTTTAGTCCGGCAAGATTTAAAAATCGTTTAGTCGTTATCACAGTTAGTGGCTGTTATCAATTTATCGCGGACCTCATGGGCCATGGCACAGTTGGCCGGTTTTTTTAATTATGAGCTCATACCATTTGTTATGCATAATGCTTTAATGCTTAAACAACATTTTATAATTAATCATATTATTGTATTATTGTTTGGAAAGCTCATTTCAGTACATCCTAAAATGGTACAAATATACATTCATATATTTTATTATTTCCCAGGATTATTACCAAGTATTTTCATTATTTCCACAATCGTTATTTGAATAAAATATTTAAATATATATTTCATAAAAATAAAAGCAGTATGAATCAATCAAAACATAAAAATATATAAAATAACATGTGAATAAATATTTATAAACATTGTCCATTCCATACAAACATTTAAATTAAATATACAAAGTCTAAACACATAAATATATAAGTATTATAAAATAAAATGTCAAGTTTCAACAAATGTATAAATAATGGCCCATCGTAAAAGTATCATATTAAGCTTAAATGCATAACAGTTTAAAAAAAAAATAGGATTTACAGATTGCACAGTGCTCATTAGAAATGTAAGCAACTTAATGTAAGTTAATAAATATGTATGTCAGCTTGTAAAAATAAGTATTTTGAAAACAATTAAATTGACTATAAAAGAAACAAAGAACCAAGAGTCTTAGGAAAATGTTGATACTACTTAAAAATTAAAACAACCTCATGTGCTGGTTTTCACAATTTGTGTATTGGTAGAATTTTTTACAATTGGCTTTTTAGACTTGGATAGTTTTATTATAGGACTTTTGTGCCACATTTCTCCATTAATATTTTTGTCTTCACATACACACAAAAATAATGTATCGATTACTACCTGTAAAATGTAAAACAATAAAATCATCTTAAATATTATATATACATTTACTATGAAATTACATTAATTAATGTAGAAAGTTATACAACATATTATACTAATTGTAAAAAGACAAAATTCAATAAATGTACTTCAATTATTAAGTGAGCTGAAAAACTAAATTAACAGAATGTTAAATGACGTTACCTCGTGTAATGAAATGACACTGTGAGCAACGAAAAATGCAAATATACATATAATGATGATTGGTATTGCATGAAAATGCAATTCCAAGTTTGATCGTAAAGTGAACAATGCTAGAGAACCAATAATCAGAGTGACCAAACACTTAGCCAGGAATAATATGAAGTCGCCTATACTGTTTATGGAACCCAATCTCAAAGCGTTACCAACAATAACATGCCAAGCCTGAAAAGAATAAAAATCATTAACATTTTTTATTATATTTATATAATAAACATTGCAATAATATAGGTACCCTCGAAGCAGCTAAACAAAATCCAATGCCTTCCATTGATACTATAGTATATGCATTATGATTGATGTACTTGAAAAAATTGTCAAACGAATATGTACAACAAGTGCATGTTTTTTTTAGACAATGGTTATTTGTTGACGTTGAATTGCTCCTGAAAAAGTAAATTGATTTCATTATATTATACAATTTTAATACAAAAACAATGAAAATGTTTGAATTACTTAGAATGACATGTCGTCAATATAAGCCTGGGAATCTTAAACAAAATAATTAACAGAGATCCAAGTGCTATAGAACCCAAATGGTAGAAAGCCAGATTATACATTGAAGAAAGAACAACAGATTTTTTATTTTTGCCGCTGAAAAATAGAACAATTCAAGTAAAATTAACAAATTACAAAATTTCATAGATGGATTACTCACTTGGTGAAATACCATTTTGCTACTGCTCCAGAAATAATCATATGTTGACATGCTAATATAAATTCTGAAGACCATATTAGGCCAATTATATATACCCACCACATATAACGTACCCAAGTAGCATCTTTAAACTCAACAGCTGAAAAACAATGTTTGATAATAACTAATAAGTAACCAATAACATAAGTATAAAATAAAACACACCATTGATGAATGGCAAAATATGTTTCTCTGATTCTTCAAGACTCAATGAATCATTAGTTTTCATGTTTTTCTCTTCAAAATCAGTTACTAATTGTAGTGATCTTGTACCAGGATAATCTGTAACAATTTATTTACTTGTCATAAGCCAATCATCATTAAACTGAAATCTTAAACTAAACTCAACTTACTTGCTGTAGCTAGATGAAGGATTACAGCAGTCCAAAATGCATACAAACAAATCAGCACAGAAAATGTACAAATAGGTTGCCAATATAAAGCTGGGAGTTTAGATAGACAATCGGCCGACTCGTGAAACAAAGTGGACAAAAAATTCAATCGCTTACGCATAGCCAAAACCAACATAAGTATAATAACCTGTAATTTAAAAAATGATTTAGAAACAATTAAGTCTTAAACACCAATTCAATTTACCGAAAATAACGTAAATAGGATGGAAAGTATTAGAAAGGTGTGTTCATTGCAAACATCAGCACTTAATGTTTGTGCCTCAATAGTGTTGTCCAGACGCTTTTTCAAAGTAAAATATTCCCACCAAAGTAAAAACACATTTACTGAAAAATTCATGTTATAAAACATAATTGTTAATGTTTTCATAGTATAAACTATAAAATAATCAGTTAATTAAATATTTATTACCTATTACCATCAAGCTGACACCAATCAATAATATATAAGCTATAACTTTTGTAAGTAAATGAATTAATAAAATGATGATAAATGTCAATACTGTAAACAAAACAAATTAAAAATCATTAAATACATTTAAATAATTTAACTGAGTATTTGGCATAACATTAGTGCTATTTTTTTTAAAAACCCAGGTAATTACCTAGGACAGCGTTTCTCAGCCTGTGGTATGCAGAAAACTCATAGGTGGTACCTACCGAAGAATATCTCCTTTTATAAAAAATTGGAATGGAACATTATTCACATTAAATATTATTTGGTTTATTTGATGTAAATAATAATTGTACATATTTAATTTTCTTTTTGTGCATTAAATGCTTATACTGTAATAATTTTGAAGTTCCTAATAAAATAAAATTCCATACATGTAAAATAAAGTATATATTTTTGATAAGCAAATAAATAATGTTAGTTGGTCAAGTGGTACGTGAAAATGTTCAAACTTTATAGGTGGTAAGCAGATATAAAAGGTTGAGAACTGCTGACCTAGGGTACCTATTTAAAATGCCGCTGTCAAAATTAAGCACAAAAGCTTAGCTCTAGGGTTATAGCGATTTTAAGTTTATCAATTATAGTATAATTTATATCATATTTATAGCCTTATAGGTATTTAAGGAGAATAAAGGGTTTCTCCCCCTCCCTTTAGGAGAGATCTTCCTATCCCTCAACAATCTAATAAGTATGCAGCTGGTGCTGGCAGGTGTAGCTGACTACTCGTCATTCTTTAACTGACAAGGTTACACCAGTTAGGATACCTTGTTGTACTTTAAACTGAAATAATTGTTTCGCATATTCTTACCAAAAGCTAAAATTGTGTAATACAACATTTGTGGCCAAGTCTTGTACAAATCGTTCAATATTTCTTCTGTGAAATCCCAATCGTTCATCATACCATAAATGTTATAAATCAAAGGCAAAGTTTGATTGTTCAATTCTTCAGGAACACACCTATTCATCACATGATGGCTTTTGTATATTGGAAATGGGGGACAAGGCCCCAAAGATGTAGTGAAAATAGTAGATTTGTAAAGCTCTTCATCGGTAGTAAAATTGTTCAAATCAAAATTATAGCTATGGAAAATAAATATTAAAAACCCTATTATTAGTATACAAAAATAATAGGAGTACAATTTTAATTAGAAATATACAATTAATTTTAAGAGGATTACCTGCAAAGTAACGATTCTGTTCGATTATAAAAATTCTGAACATCTTCTAAAGTTAATATATTACTGTCTGGACATTGTTTAACACATATTTGCATACTATGTTCAATGTTTGCTGGATCTAAATAGAATAGGAACCTAAGAGCCAACAGTAAATGGCATTTGTTGAGTTTGTTTATATATGTTGATTGAAGGTAACAATTTCAAAATTTACTTTTTATCTGTAGTATCCAAGTTGGAAAATTTGCCCATTTTGTAATTACTAGAAGAACCGCAAGTGTTTCCAAAACTGTCATGGCCATTGATCAGACGCAGAGGATCGCCGTAAATAAAAGCAAACACAGCTATAAATATCTAAAAGATTGTAATATTAAATTAAGAACCAACTCATACAATTAATATTTAATAGGTGTAAAGCAAAGCTAGGCGCCTTGGTATCAACAAAATAGAAAGTAGAGTTACCTACCTAACTTAAAAATTAAATTTTAACTAAATCGTTTTTAATTAGGTGACCTGAAATCAACTACAATCATACATTTTCATTTGAACTTATTTTTTTATATTCAATTTTATTAAATTACTATAGACAAAGTTGGTACATCAAAAAATATCTTGGGTTTTGTTGGGTGTGAATTGTTTTATTTTGTAGTGATGAGAAACTACAATGAATTAAGTACTATATAGAAATACTGTCTAAACAATATATACTTTTAAGTCGGTTAAATAATGAGGTAGGCTAGTAATTAATAAAAAAAATTAACTTTTTTTTAACTTGATAAAAAGTTTAAAAATATGTTAATAAATAAAATTAAAATGAACTTAAAAAGATGTCAGAGCACTATCTTTTTTCTCCCTCACACCACGCACAGTATACCAAATTTATGTTTAGCAGAACCAACCCTGTGTAATTACTTTTAATGTTAGAGTG